TTTAGATTTTTCTATAAAGATTTCGGTAAAAATTGTTACACAGCCTAAATGCTTGACAGTTTACAAATTCTCATTTAAGTTAGAAAAATTAGTTAAAAATACTTAATGAATATTATTTCTTATAGACGTTTCTAGTGTATTTAAATATAAATTTCGGCTAGCATGGATATTAAAAACGAAAACACATTAGCTTTAATTGTTTCAATAAAAACCATTATTCGTAAGAACTATACCATTGTAAGTTGGCATCGACTTATAAGACGTTAGAATGGTTAATATCAGCTTGTAATATTAATGATTTTTGGTTATTAGATATTGTCAATTCATTGATTTTAAAAGTAATTATAGATTATTAACAGAAGGTTAAAATATTCAAAGCGATAGGGCAGGCAACCTGCAATCGAAACATTTTTCGAAAACAATAATTACTGTTGGTTTAATTAAAATTTAACCCATCCATTTATTAAGTGAACTAATAAAACATTACTAGGTACACTCGAAACAAACCACACAGCATGCTAATTTTTAATATTAAATATATTGTAACATAAAATAATTAAGTCATTGAATATCATATGAATGATAATTAATTCAAACTTTATGTTTTAATATAAAACTTCAAATTAAATGATCAACATAGGTAACTGTATAAAATAATCAGAGATTGCGGTTCGTCGTGACCAAATACCTGCAATAAAACACTTTAAACGACTGGCAATGGCAATCATTAAATTATAATTAATCAAAACATATTGAAAAATATTGAAAAATATGATAGAATCATCTACTGTAKAGAAAATCGATATTAAAATTTTAAAGGTAGTGTAAAAATTGTAGACTAAAGAAACGGATAAAATATATCGTTATTAAACATTTATCGAAAATATTAAAATTGGACCGATGATGACATATGATATACATATACATATACATATACATATACATATTCATATACATATGACACATGTGACATAAAGCCGAGAAAAACGTAGACCAAAATTGTTGCAAATACAATGAACATATTTTATTAATTTATAAAAAATAACCAAGATATAGAAAATGAAATCCTGATGATACAAAAATGTGCAATAGGGGATAATTATTGTTGAATGGGAGTAGAAAGTGACATAAAAAAATGCTGCAGCAGCATTATTAGTACTACGTGAAAGAAAAAAGAAGAAAAAAACATTCCAAAAGCATAATAATTTAATTATATCATATTATATATCTATAGCATAGAAGCAGTAAGTTGCTGCTAGCCCAGTCATGGTTTACGATAAATATTTTCTTGCCGTCGTCGCCTTTATCTCGCAGAAGAACGAATTTCGGCGTCGCGGATAAAATGTGTTTTGGTCGTAGCCACCACTGTTATCATAAAATCTAATAGTTCATTACTTTAATCTAAAACTCTCGCACGCCTCATCCTTTCAAAAACGAAAAACACAAACAATATAATTTACATACACTATATTAATAACTAATAAGTAATATAGCCTTGTCAAACACTCAAACACGCGTACGTACAATATAATATTCTTTCGACCGCGTGTAAAACGAAAATAATTTACTTTATTCATAATTATTTTCATATTAAAAAAAGGCGAAAATTCATATTTGTATTCGTATAAAATAATAAAATAATAATTTACCTATGATATTATAGTCTAATGTTTAATAAATTGTTCCTCCGTGATATAGCTATAGCTTCTAAAGATACATTGAAAATATTAAAAATAAATACGTTACTCGTAGAGTCGTAACTACATAAAATATCAATTTTTTTTCTTTCAGTAKTAAAAGAATTATTTAAGTAAGTTTATTTGTATTGCTTATTGTAATATATATATGAATTATTCAATAATAATTAAACATTTAAATATTTTAGATTAAATTATATTTAGAAAACAATATTTTATTCAGAAACAAGATCTTATATGTAAATTGTAAGTAGATAGTTAAAATATTATTTTTGACAAGAATATTTTCAAAACATGACGTACACCTATTATTATTTTAATATACATGTACCTCTACATCCTAAAACAATAAAGACCGTTTCTATTATTTTGGTTTCAGTGATTAACATTCAACAAAAAAATATGACATGCATTATTTAATTATAAATTCAACCATATCAACAGATGCATATAACTACACAATTATATGGTTCTAGATTGAATAGAAAATAAAAAGAACAAATGGCATAGTAACATGTAAGACACAACATCATTTTAAAACCTACGTATATAGAAGAACGTATAAGTATCATTTCAATTGTAGTTTAATATATATAAATAACGTATTGGCCGAATTTAATTAACATAAAATATGTTAACTGAAAATGTGTACAATAGAAACTATACAAAGGGAAAATCTAAAAACGAAATTAAAAAGCGGTAGGAATAAAGTAAAATTAATTTGATGGAGATTGTTTTAACGATTATGAATTAATTTTTATTGCTAAATATATGCTAAATTATTATGGTACATAATTAACCCCATCTCCGTGAATATTTCTATATATTGTATGTATGTGTTTACCCATTTCTATCTTTCTAAATTTAATCAAACCAGAAAGAACCACTATGAACTATTCGAAATTTAACATTACAAACCTAAAACATATATTATGGCATAGCCTATGACTCGTACGTAATTTAGAGTTAGATGTCTTGGCAAAAAACCTGGGCTCATTTTATTTGATACCTACTTACTATATACATACTTTATCATAATATATCTGAATACATAAATAAAATTGTACACTAATTTCCGTCATTTTAACACTAAATCCTAGAACTAAATAGATAACGTCAATCGACAGAAAAAGTGGAAGACAGGATTGAGAAAATATAAGAGCATGACCTTCGCGCCCAAAAACTTGCATATATAACTGCCGAAAAAAATCACTAGGGAAATATAAACTTTAGTCAGTGCTCTTAACTAATCATTTACTATTTCATTATAGGCCAACGAAAATTGAAAAATTGGAACTTATTTGGATCATGAGGAAATGAGACAAATATTGTGAAGTTTGATTGGGTTAGCCACCTGCTGCTGACCTTGAATTACCTCGTACATACTACTATAATATACTACATAATATAGTTTAATGTATTATTCTAGGGTGATTGGGAATCAAGCCAAAAATGAGTTGAACAAATTGACACTAACTACAAAACTGTTGAAGTATAGCAATAGATATAAGATATTAAGTGGTTTGTGAACTTCAAAAGCTATAAACGTATAACAGGCTTAAGAACATTTTCTTTGGATATTACATTTACTAATATAATCACATCAAATAAATTTTTAATAAGGAAACTTACACTTATTATGTACAATAAAAATTTAATTTAACCAAAGTTCATATTGGAAGTAGTGTCAATGGACTCTCTCTTCCCTCAAGCCGTCCAGACTGGTAAAAATGTTATCTAAATTACTTATTGTATTATGTTATACAGATTGTATATTTTTTTCTACTTTAATAAAAAAAAAAAAAAAATAAGGAAACTTTAAAATTAATATTTTAAAACCATATAGTTACAATAATGAACTTGTGCCATATTTTACTATTTAAAGTAAGATTTAAATAAATTAGTTTCGTTAAAATGATTGTTTTCAAGGAAAAAAATGGCAATAAACATACAATATCTAATTATATTATTAGAGAAAAGATTATTAATATTATTATTATTATTATTACTTTATTTTGGAATAAAAAGTTATTTTGATTTCAAGATTAAATTAAAAATGTATTATTGAAAATTATAAATTAATTTAGAGTTTTTTCTCAATTCCTTTCACCGGTGGTGCTTATTTCTTTTAAACACGCCTACTAATTTTACATTGCATGTCTATATAAAATATATGATATGAAAACGTTTGATTAGGCGTGGAGGTTAACCCATTAGTTATTTATTACTTATTTTTTTAACACTTTTTAAAAAAAAGTCATCTTTCTAAAATTTGCTTTCATATGTCAAGTAGTTAATATTATAATTAGGTGGGACCTACGTAATTGTCATTTCAATTTTATTTTAACGAAAATAATTATGACATACGTTTTCTGTAAAAGTGTAAACATTAAACAATATTTATATACATTTAAAATTTGTTTTAAATTTATGTTTCGTTAGTAAATTATCTTTAGTATTTTAAATGTTCAAGTGACTATAAGAATACTACTCACTCAAATTAAAGGTAAGCTTGTTGCATTTATTATATTTTTGTAAATTTAAAAACTTTCTGGTAATAATAAGAAATTAAGAAACATACTCTTAGAATACTTCATTTTCATTATTCGAATAAATATAAAACCAATTACGATTTTAAGTGCTTAAATTAAAATTGTTTTTATGATTCACCACTGTTAGGAAAGATTTAAACCGCTATTAAAAATATACTTAAACACTATTTCATATATAACATTTTAAATTAAATGTACGTACATAAAAAAGTTGTATAGTTTTATATAGACACATGATAAACAGTTTTCATACGGTTATTTTACATTTTTAAACCAATAGATATTTTACATATTTTGGTATAGTAATATATATGATTGTATTTACTATTTTTTATTCTTTATAGTATCAACTTTAAACTAATGTTTTAATATAAATCAATTTATCGTAATAAGTTATATTATCAAGTATATTGGTATATTTTATATACCAGGCAATATAATATCTACTTGAGAAATATCGATTTAATGCTATTTATTGTAACCAATCGCCATAATACCATATAATGAATTTCAAAGTGAATAATAATAATTTAATTTTTAAAAACATTTTAACAATTTATAATATATTTGAACGAATGATGGATGATCAAAATATGTGGTTCATTAATTGTTACAGATTTAACACTTACTGTACTTACCAATATTCAAATTTCTACTTAATATTGTATACATCATATAATCTTATTATACTAATATTATATTTATAATGAATATCCGATAACGGTCTTTCATAAAACATATTTTTTCCTACCTGAACTTCGTGCACAAGTTCTTGATCGTCGAGTAATACGATTTTGCAATGGTGTGTTCGGGCGCTGGTACAAAAACAGCCCATGTTGGTTTCTATTTATTAAATCTTGCCAAATAGATCTATAAATAAAAAATAAACTTTTAATGCTTACCTTTGAATTAAAACGAGCAATAAGCTAATTCTAAAGCGTGTTTTAATAATAATAACCCGTAGAGATTTATTATACAATTGTATTATTTCAGWTGAAAAACATAATCAGCAAAACTTTTCTCAGACTATAAAAATCATTTGTTATATTTGTATGTTTTTGTGTCCCTCAAGCGATTAATTTCTTTTCACTGAACCTATAGAGGAATTTCAATGAGTCTTTTAAGGATATTAAATACACATTATAAAGAGCATTTTTTTTCGTTTGATATTGGTATAATTTTTGTGAAAATTACTTTACAATATTCTTTGTTTTGCATATTTTATACAAAATTCTTTAGTTAAGATCAAATTCGTTCATTCGATGACGATTTTAATGGAACCATTATTATTTTTTTTTCGTGGACCTTCGATTAAACTGGATTTTTATGTTACCCACAACGATTTCCCATATGGTCAGTCAACTGGAATGGAATCCGGGATATTGTCCCCGGGGAATTGCCAAGGGAACACGCTAGTGGARCGGGGAGCTTTAMAACTTAACCCACGGGACGTTGTCCAAAACATTCGGTCGTAAATGCGATTTACGCGAAATACCCCAAACTTTAACGTACGATGGATAAGCTAGTAAAAATAATACGAATGGATAAGATAGTGGTGAGAAGGGACTAGGCAGTAGTAGGCTAAAGGACAAGTTCAGAAATAACACATACTTCAGAAACAGAAAAAAATTAACGGGATAAAGCTAACCTTTAGGAAACCATGATTCCTTGGAGTCTACTGACATACAAAAAATTATAAATCTCATCGTCAAATTGTAAAAAATTAAATAGTAAATATAGAAGCTGAGCGTGACTAGGGATTTCCAAGGGAAACAGTAAACTTTTAATATTTAACCAGACAAGTATTGTTACAAAAATATTAGAATCGTATAACTGGAAAGACCGGATGGGAGATAGCTTTTAATAAATATTTAATTTCTCTTGTGCTTTGTCTTGGATGAGTATCTACGGACATGTTAAAAAGATAAATAATTTGTTTAGTTATTGAGTCGCAATTTATATTGCTATCGTTTTGTTCGGCTGTTAATTTATTCAAGGATATGATAGTATACGCTGAAAAAAAACCCTATTAAAAATGTATAGTATCTACAAATGTACATTTTGTTAATTTTATAAATACTCGTGTTCTAATGCTGTATAAATATAATAATATTTTAACAACAAACTGATTATTATAACAAAATATGTAAACTAAATTTTATAAGCTACTTTAATAAAAATCTTTGAATTGTTTTTATATCATGAAAATCCAATTTGGCATTGTTTATATAGCCACAATTCGAGTATCATACGAAAATTAATTTTTTTTTTTTTAATTTTAATCGATTATTAAATAAATAAATATATTTTGACTTAGGAAAATATTAATATCCCACCCATGTATTTTATAAATAATAATTTTTGGTATTTCAATTAAATTCGATAATCTTGTTTTACAACCGTGCAATTTTTTAAACTAGAATATTATTTGATGTTATAATATTTATTTTGTATGAAGGAATAGTATAAGAAAACGCTTTTAATTTCGAAGTATCCATAGGATTTAAACATGCTATGAATAAAATATTGATATTTAATACAAATGTATTGTACCTACAAATTATTTACGTTAAGTATAAACATTCAACGAATAAATTATTATTTTAGTCCAAATTTAATTATTACATAATATTGAGTGTAATAAATATTTGATGTATAAATTGCGTGACATAGTTTGTATGTTTAAATAAACATAATGTCATAACGAATTAGATAGTTAGAATCTAAATGTTCAATGTAAATATTGTTTCAGACAGGTTATTTTCGTTTTTTTGAAAGACRTTTAAATTAACAATGTGGCGTACCACCATACCTTACTGCAGTACTCGTAGCACACCAAAAAATCCAAAAATATAAACTTATATTTGTTACATAAACCAACATTTATGTATATTACGTGATTCTAATTGAATGTCAACTTCCAATAAAGCATATAATTTGACGGTATTCTATTATCTATTAAAGTATTTCCGCTCCGTACTATAGTAGTATTTACTATAGGTACCAGGTACCTACATAGAAAATGATTTAATATACAATTTTTAAAAATATCGACAGTACAAGTCTTATAAAAATTAAACGGTAGAAAGAGTATGTCAACGACAGACAGGCTTACATTTTTCAGATTTTGGCAATAACTCAATTGAACGTTAGTATATAAAAACAATTGAAGGAAGGTTTATATATGTTTATCTAATATTAATATTGGGATAAGATTACCTAATGCGCAATTCTTGTGTAGTTCATGCATTTTATATTTTTTATCCATACATTACATTACGATTGGATATGAATTACTATTTACATATCACATTTCAAATTTATATATTGCATAAAATTTCAAACTGCAGTGGTCATTGGTATGATTAATTAGGTGAATTCTCAACATATAGAAGTGCATTATTGAATTCACATGATGAGAGAATTAGATGATAATAGATAGTTATTATGTATAAATTACTTTTAAAAAATTATTTTGGATTACCTGTAAAGTTGATATGTATGTAATTGAAATGAAATTACTATTAAAATTAAAGATACTATGCTCTACCTAAAAATGACTGACCACTCGGGCCTTTAAAAATAATATGAATTTGGTCACATTTTATAATATACTGACAAAAATTATGATAATTCACGAAAGGGTTGGCCATCCTGTAAGTTCACTAAATTTAAAATAATAAACAGCATTATATATAGGGAATAGCTAGGCCAGTAGGATATACAAGGTAATTCAAAATGTCAATAATGTATAGCAGTTCAAGTAGTTTTGATAAATTAAAGACTATATTAGTTTATAATGATTATTATAGTTGGTTAGGGTCAATCCGATATAGCCTTGTAAATAAAAATATACTTATAGTAACCAAAATCAGGACCTACAGTAATATTTTGAAGAGTGATAAATATTTGAAATAAAATTTATTTTACTTTGTTACTTATAATATCATACTTTCAATTTTTAATTCAGTGGCGTATTTATAGGGGGGGGG